ATGATTAAATCTAGAAATAAAAGAAAAGGAAATTATTTGTTTCTTTTTAAATTGATGAGAATTGATCATTAAGAACAGACAAAGAGAAAAACATTTGTTGTATGATCGAATATTTTCTTAATTTATCAAAATGAAATTTGACAAAAAAAAGCTTAATATAAAACATAAACTTGAGAATATTTGGCGATGATTAAACGTTCTTGATATGTTATTAAATATTTCATATTCATTGTTTGATAACGCTAAAAGAAAAATAAATTTGAAATAAAATTAAAAGAGAAAAAAAAACAAAATTTATTTGAAGTAATTTGTGATCATTTTTTTGTTGTTGTGATGAAGATTTTTCTTCAATTTGTTTTAAAAATAATTTCCAAAGACGATCATAAGATTTTTTAATTGAATAATATTTATAAAGGAAATTTGCTAATTTTCCATCATTTATATCACTATGTTTTTGTAAACTTTTAAGAACATTTATTAAATATCCTGATTGATCATGAGTATTTGCTGATAAATCACATAAACACATTTCTAATGATATGTATATATCAATTAACCAATTACGACGTTTTTCCATATCACTAAAAAACAATTCTCTAAAAAAGTTGTTTTTCTTTGATTAAAATACTTTTTAATAATTTGAATATCTTTGTCATTTGATGATAATTTGTTTTGACCAAAAAATTATAAAATTAAATCTTCATTAAATAAAAATAAAAATTTATTTTGAATAAATTTAATAATTTCATTTAATATTTTTTTATTTGTTAAATAAGTTTTTTGTTGTTTTAATTGATTTTCAAATTGTTGAAGACGAATAATATGTAATGGAATATGATTATTTAAATCTTGTTGTTCAGATAATAATTCTTCATATAATTTTCCTTGATCATCATTTAATCTATATTCAAAAAAAATAAACAATCAAAAAAAATGAACAGAATTGTTAATCTACTTTGGAATCGAAGAAATTTTCAAATTTCGTAATGCATCGCGGATATTTTTGATCTTTCTGTGATGATGGACTATCTATTGTTCCTTCTTCATTTGTTGTAACTGATGAATTTGTTTGTTTTTTATTAGTAGTACTAACACTACTTGATGAAGATTTTTTCGATGAACTTGATGAAGATGATGAACTAGGCTCAGTAAAATATTGATAAATTGTATTCATTTCCTATAAAATATTTCATTGACTTCTTTAATTGTATTATCTTCATAAACTTTC